AATTATTAACACAAAACTAAATCAATTCATTTCAATAATTCTACATCAAGAATTATTATACAAAGTCGAATTATATTATTTCAAGTGGTCGAATTACGTCTATCGTAAATAATATAATTTTACAGAATATTTATGCAAAGGATAATTCCACATCAGGAATTATTAACACAAAGCTAAATCAATTTATGTCAATAATTCTACATCAAGAATTATTACACAGGGTCGAATTATGTTGTTTCGGGTGGTCGAATTACGTCTATCGTAAATAATATAATTTTACAGAATATTTATGCAAAGGATAATTCCACATCAGGAATTATTAACACAAAGCTAAATCAATTTATGTCAATAATTCTACATCAAGAATTATTACACAGGGTCGAATTATGTTGTTTCGGGTGGTCGAATTACGTCTATCGTAAATAATATAATTTCACGGAATATATAAACAAAGGATAATTCTATATCAAGAATTATCGATACTAACCATATTTTTCCCCTTAGAAAACTTTAAACTATCAAAGTGAATCACAACATCCGAATAACTATTGGAAACACTACAGAGCATCCTGTTATAATCAAATCAATACAGAAAAATCTAAGCTATCAAGGTGAATCACAACATCCGAATAACTCTTGGAAACACTACAGAGCGTCCTGGTCTATTCAAATCAATACAGGTCCTTTGGAAGATTTAAGCAGTTACTAATAATATTAAGCTAAACTTTACCAATATTTGTTAATTTTACAGTTGTGTTCAACTAAACAATAAAATACAGAAAACATAAGCGTGTCTCTGAATATTTTGTTTACAATTAAAAATTTATTGTAACGATCCTGGAGAGACTGAGCATACCTCGGCAAATAAGCAACGACATAAAGAAAGGGTCGTTACAATATTATATTCTTATATATAATAACATATACTTTATTGATTAAAGTTATATAATAATTTACAATTTAATATTAATAATAATAATAAGAATTACGCCATGGCACGCTTACTCCGTTTAGCACAACGACGACAAGAACGCATTTTGTATTTTTTCCTTCTTTTTCTATTTCTTTATGCAGGGTTGCCATGATCGAATATACTACAGTTCCTCCCCCATCAAATAGTCCCGTAACCTTTTTGGCGGTTGCCTCTGCCGGTACGGTCGCGATTTTAATGTTTCATCTCTTTTATCTTTTTCTTCTAATGACCTCTCTACTTGACTATCTGGTAGGATATATTCATTTGATGAATGACCTGCACTTACTTGGTCGTCTTGCTCTTCCGATTGTGCCACTGAAGTTACTGCTACTGGAGTTATATTGGATTTTAAACTTGTCGGCGTCTCCGAAACTCGCTTATGCAACTGGTCAATATGTCTCGACAATATGTTACTATTTGATTGAATTTTGTAGTTGCGATCTCCTGTTGATTGTATAATCCCTGGCATCCACTTTTCACCTCTTCCAAAATTTCGGTGCCAAACACTTTAACCACACTGGAAACTGCGAACTGGTTTTATTTGTTTGGAATACTCATCAGAATTTAGCTGCTTCTGAGTGTTGTCATCACTGGGGTGCAAATGATCTAACAATGTTTTGAACTTCCTTCCCATCAAGATTTCTGCTAGACTCGAATTTGAATTTGCATTAGGATTTGTACGCAGATGCAAAAGTATATTTGCCAAATTCTTATTGATGTCTGAAGATTTTCTTAAGGTGATTCTTAATGGTTTGTACAAACCTTTCTGCTTGCTCGTTTGACGATGGATGATACGGTGCCGTACGTATGTGCTTTATACCGCTAAGTTTTAAATATTTCTCAAATTCTTCTGACACAAACGTTCGCCCATTATCGGACACAATGGTATCTGGTATTCCGTGTGTTGCAAATATTTCTCTCATTAACTCAATTGTTCTAATCGCATTTATTGTACTGGTTATTTTTACCTCTACCCACTTGCTATGAGCATCTACGACGATAAAAAAATTTATACCCATAAAGGGTCCCGCATAATCAATATGTAACCGGGACCATGGCCTTAGTGTTGCTGGCCATGGTTTACCTGCTGCTACTGGAGGATTCTTTTTGTTACATGCACACTTTTCACAACGTCTGGCTAACATTTCTATCCCTTCATCTAAACCAGGCCACCAAAAATAGCTTCGCGCAACTGCTTTCATTGCCGACATGCCTTGATGAACTTCGTGCAACATCTCAAGTATTCTGGGACGTAGTATTGCTGGTACTATTACCCTGGCTCCCCATAACAAACATTGTGCATTCACTGATAGTTCCTGGATTTTATTCACAAACGGTTTAAACTGGATTGATTTATATGTTTAAACTCTGGTTTAATTTAAATTTGGTTTTTTGCGTTTACTACAAAACGTTAATAGACTTTCTTTTTACATAACATTACTTTACTTTATTTAACTAAAACAATATATTTATTCACGACGCTACCCATCGAACTTCCGCTATTCTTACTTCACTCGATTGTGTCATTCGCTGTCAAACATAGGTTAGGTGACCACCTGTTGTTAAAAATTTTAAGGTGCCCAGTTGTGCGTTTCGGATGTAGATTAACAGTCGGCCCTTCCTGACGTCAAGCGTCCTCGCGCTCGGAATCAGTTTCTTCTTCGTACGGCAATTGACTCCATGGCTTTAGAAGATCAGACGCATAGATTGATTTATAATGTCGTTGTTTTCGATCGGATCCTGGTAGGTCTTCGATGACATAACGGTCATTATCGAGAACTTCGGTGACTACAAACGGTCCTTTATATCGACATTCAAGTTTGCGGGACGTGCCTGTGGATGCTGGTTCTCGTTCAGCTAGAACTAAATCACTTTGCTCATATTTCGTTGGTTTCCTGTGTTTATCGTCGAAATGCTTTTTCGCGCTTACCCGTTTACTATCAGTGTTATTAGCAGCAAGTAATCGTCGGCGTTGGGGTTCTTCTTGGGTGATGGGAATAGTATCGTCTTCATCTTGGAGAATTTGGATCAGCTTGTTACCTAATATGTCGCGTGGCTTGAATCCAAAAAGCAATTCGTTTGGAGATTTTCCCGTCGTTTGGCTAATCAGTGAGTTCAATGTACATTGAATGTTTCGTAGTTGCTCGTCCCAGGTTCGGTCATCTTGTGTTGAGGGTTGCAGCATGGATAAAACGGTGCGATTAAATCGTTCGACTTGGCCATTGGCTCGTGGCGGTCGGACTGCGTTGCGTATGTGTTTGATTTGTTGATCGTTACAGTATCTTTCGAATTCTTTTGACGTAAAGGCGGTACCACGATCACTTATTATAGTTTCAGGGGTTCCAACGTAACTGGTAACTTCATTCAGAATGGCGATGACTTGTTTAGTGTTCGTACTTTTCACTGGTCTGACGATGACAAATTTTGTGAAACTGTCCACAATAATCAGGATATATTCGTTTAACTTTCGGCTTCGGGGAAAAGGTCCCAGGTGGTCAATGTGTATTGTTTTGAACGGAATAGGCTCCATTTTGTCGCAATGTAACTCACCTTCCTTTTTACCTCCTCGACGCTTAGTGAAGGCACAATCAATGCACGCTTTCACAAAAGATTTGACAAAGTTTCGCATTCGAGCGAACCACATAGACCGTAGTAAGTATTCAATCGTTCCGTCAACGCTTAAGTGTCCTGTTTTAACATGTGCATCATGTGTCACCTTCCATCGTAAAGCCTTTGGTATTACGAAGAGCTGTTGGTTTTTATACCGTTTGTACAGTCGTCCGTTAATTATTTTATAGTCGTTAATAATGTCTGAATCCTTATCCTCAATTTTCATTACGACTTGTTGAAGTTTGCTATCTTGTAATTGCATACTGTAAAGCCAATCTGCCTCAGTTATTTCCGCCTTCCAGACTCGCAAAGTCGCTTCCTCAAGATCGCAACCGTCTTCGTTAGGCATACGACTTAGTGCGTCGACATGCGCCATTCGTTGCTCGCTTCGATGTTCGATGATGAGGTCATAGTCTTGGATTTTCTTCGCAACGATTTCTTTTTTCGGTTCCGGAACTCTATATGGGACTTGTGCGATTACCTCGTTGGTCGCTAACTCAATTTTCATTTCGACTACACTAGTTTTGCCGATTCCATCCATACCTGTAGCGAAACATTCTCGGAATTCATTCATCACCTCTAACAGGTTTCCCTTAGAATCCGAACTTACAGTGTCCATACACACGTCATCCTCCGTTATTGGACTAAGTTTATTAATTTTACACGTCGTTTTTACTTTGTCTTCGAATTTGAACTGTCCGTTGTCATATACGGCGCGTATATTTTCGCTATTGAATATTTCGTCCCCGAGCAATAAATCGTAATTCAACACACGATCTTTGAAGACGTGCAACGTCAACGGTTTTTCAACTTCATCGATTTTCAAATCCGTGTCGATTTGTATCTCAGATCGTTCTATACCACCACCGAATCCACTGATGGTAAATAGGTTTTTGCTGCGCGTACCACCAATATCGTTGGCAAATGTTTCTCGGACCATATTACATTCGCTTCCAGTATCAATAAATGCAATGGCTTGCTTGCCACCAATCGTTATTTTCTTAAGAAATTTATTGTCGATAATACTTGTTTTTCGCACGAAAGCTGATGGTTTTCCGCAATTTTGCTGTTCATTTTTGGGGTGCACCTTATTACAATCTATACAACGAGGACGTTTTGGGGGTCTTGCACAATTTACTGACAAGTGCCCTGACTCACCACAACTGTAACACATAACATTCTTTGCCTTACTGAACGATTGTATTCTTTGTTCGCTTTCACCCGCATTATGAAAAGACTTTTCGTTTATCTTAATGCAATTTTGTAAAAAGTTCTCGCATGCTTTACGCATTTCTTTAACGGATACGAATTTTTGCGGAGCAATCGCCATTTGTAGTTCTCGATGTTTTAATCCTTCTCGGGCGTATCTCGTGATAGCCATCTCACTAAGATTATGACGTCGTCCTAGCGCAGAGACACGAAAAATGAACTCAGTTATTGTTTCGTTTTGCCTTCGAGCAACGCGTGACATATTGTAATGTATATCCGCTTCATCGTATTCGCAACCGAACTCGGTGACAAGCTCATTTGAGAACTCCTTCCAAGTAGCATGCATTCTTGGTGATGCGTCCACCCACATGCGCGCTACACCCTTCAAACGGCTATACACTGCAAGAAGCACACTTTTTTCGGGCCACGCATATACAGACATAACAGCTTCAACACGTTCGACAAATTGCGTAGCCGTAATAGAATCTTCATTCGTTGGGTCGAATTCGGGTAGGACTTCTGCGATTTCTCGTATAGAATGCGCGTTACGGTCCTTACTAGGTATTTCTGAAGTACTGTTTTGATTGTTTCTACCGTTATTCTGGTTAATGGCCACTTGTTGCACCATTTGCCGCAGTTCGCTAATTTGTTTTCTCAATTCTTCGTTTTCACCCCGCAATTCCTCATTATCGTTCGTAAATTGTAAAACTACGCCGCTTGCCTTCACGTGTTCAGTTAATCTTGCAACTAATTCTGCCTTATTGCCTGTAGTGGATAACTCTTGCTGTTGTAAGAAGTCCTTCAACTGTTCCTTCGTCAGTGTCTCGATGGTCACCATCATTACGTATATATCTGCGTTCGTTTGTTTTTTAATTTTTTGCGCCAAATATTCAAACTTACGTTTTAATTACTCCCCTTTTGGACATTGATTCAATTCCACTTCTGAACTTTAAACTTTGGTTTAATTTAAATTTGGTTTTTTGCGTTTACTACAAAACGTTAATAGACTTTCTTTTTACATAACATTACTTTACTTTATTTAACTAAAACAATATATTTATTCACGACGCTACCCATCGAACTTCCGTTATTCTTACTTCACTCGATTGTGTCATTCGCTGTCAAACATAGGTTAGGTGACCACCTGTTGTTAAAAATTTTAAGGTGCCCAGTTGTGCGTTTCGGATGTAGGTTAACATATGGCAAAACTGTATCTTTCCTTTGGATATGCCACATTACTTTTGATAGTACTGGATCTCTTCTGGTTGCTTGTGCAATGTCTTTCGCAGTGATTAAAAACTGTTCCTCAACCTCATTGCAGTATAATATTTCAGGTATTTCCGGTATTTGTAGCTTTACATCATTTAAAGGTAACCGGCTCAATGCATCTGCATTCTGGTGATGTTTCCCTTTTCGGAATTTAATCTCGTACTGGTAAGCGCCTAACTTTAACGACCACCTTAACATTCTGGGTGATATATGCTGTGATAATGGTTTTTCTGGGTTGAATAATCCCACTAGTGGTTTATGATCAGTCATTATTGTAAATTGTCTACCACTTAAAAATTGATGAAACTTTTGCACACCAAACATAATCGCTAGCGCTTCTTTATCCAACTGTGAATAATTTCGTTCCGCGCCCTGTAATGTTCTGGAGCCAAAAGCAATCGGTGCTTCTCTATCATCCGGCATCTTATGTGCCAAAACAACTCCAACTCCATACGGTGATGCGTCTCCGCATAATATCAGTGGTAAGTCAGCCGAATAATGCACCAACAGATTTTTTGATTGTAATAGTTTCTTTGCTCGTTCAAAACTTAATTTCTGTTCTTTACCCCATTTAAAAGGTATTTCTTTTCTTAATAGTCGATACAGCGGTTCCAAAAGATCGCCCTTATTTTGTAAAAATCTATCATAAAATGTAATTAACCCAAGAAAAGCTTGTAGCTGTTGTTTATTTATTGGTTCTGGTGCTTGAGCTATTGCCTTCACCTTTTCGTCAGTTGGACGCACTCCTTCTCGGCTTATCTTAAACCCCAAAAATGTTGTCTCTTGTACTGCGAAAACACATTTTGATTTTTTAAGCTTCAATCCTGCATCCTGTACACATTTCAGAGCAGTTCGTGTTCTATCCCACAACTCTTCCAAAGTTGTTCCGCCAATTAGAATGTCGTCTAAATAAATAATCACACCATCTATGTTCTTAATGCACACTTTTCACAACGTCTGGCTAACATTTCTATCCCATCCTCGTCGCCAAATTTTATTATATTCTTATATATAATAACATATACTTTATTGATTGAAGTTATATAATAATTTACAATTTAATATTAATAATAATAATGATTACGGCACGGCACGCTTACTCCGTTTAGCACAACGACGACAACAACGCATTTTGTATTTTTTCCTT